AGTATTGTTGTACCGAAAAGATGAAGAAAATATAAGAAATTATTCTCATTCTTCAATTTTTGTTTCAGGCAATGATATATAATGGTTGTCAAATTTTAGTGACTACACCGCGATATCTAGTCAGATTCTTAAATAAAAATAAAGGTATATTGTCATTTGACCGACTTTCTTGTTTAATACTTGACAATGTTGATGTAATTTTGGATAAATATTACAATTCGGTCAGTAAATACTTGTAATATATTTATTACTTATCATAGAGATAAAATTTCTAAAGTTTTCTAAATTTTTTTAATAGGTAGGAGAACTTTTCAAAAAGCACAAGATAATCGAGAATCGTGAACCACAACAAAATGATAGACCAATATTGCAGATAATTATATCGGCAACACACTGGACGCCCGAGATTAAGAAATTTGTACATCTAGTGATGTATAATCCATATATATGCATTGCGTCATTTATAGAAGCTATGGTTTTTAAATCTGTAAAATCTCTAAAACTGTACCATGTAAATACTGGATACAAGAATCAAAAATTATTCGGTAAGAAAACTTATAAATGAACATTTGGCTGTACCAGCGTTTATTAAAAAATTAACACAAAATAATATTTCGAAATTATTTCAATGTTAGATCTAATGTCAAAAAATGAGTACCTTATGATGAGAACAGCGATAATATGTACGAACGCCGAAGAAGCTGAAAACTTAAATACCTTTTTAATTTTGACAAAGAAAACTCTGCTAATTCATGACAAAATGAAATCATCTGCTATACGAAGTACAATGACAAATTTTAATCACATTAAGAAATACTTTATCTTATACTTGATGTTTTATTTTATTGTTGATTTAATTAATGTTTCTGTTTTTGCCTTTTTGACAGTTACATATTAATTTTTTGCAGCTTTACGAGAAAATTGGATGGCATGTATTTGTGGTTCCTATCCAGTACTGATATGTACTGATCCAGTCCTATCTGATCTGAATTTTACTAATATTCAGTGGCTAATACATTTTTCTGTATTATCAAAATTAAAAAATCAATTCAATTATAGGTTTTCTTTACTTTTAGATAATTTAACGGAGGTACTTATTAAATGAGAACTTAAGATTACTTTTTTATTTTACACTGTAAGTAAATTATTACGCTTATATTGAATATTCTAAAATTAATAACTATAAATTTAAGGATTCATCTAACTGTAAAATTAGTATTATTGTTGACGAGAACGATACTATACAATTACTAAGTATAGTAAAAATAATGCAACGAATGAACATTGTAATACGACCGAAAATATTTGACTACATTCAGGTAAGCTAGATGTTATTTTTCAAAATATTTTTATTATGATTTTTATAATGAAATATGATTCCAGCGAAAGGCTCTTGAATTAGAGAGAAATAAGAAAGTATATGCTCTATGTGATAATGTAAAATCATTTGGCTTCTGCCAAACACGAAATGTCTGTGTATTTAGACATTGTGTCCTTTCTGAAATTGATGCACCAATAACAAATATACAGATGTAAGTAATTTTATTATTAGTCCATCATATTTATTATTCGATATTTTTAAATTCTTGTTTATATAGAGGGGATAAAGTGAAGTTGATAGTGACATATATTCACGATACGACGCATTTTTCTGCAAGAATTCTTGAACATATTCCACGTTCTAATGAATCAGAAAAAATAACATTTTCCAACATAGAGTATATGCAAAATACGAGTAAAATACAAAGTTATTATGGAAATATCGAAAACAGGTATGTACTGAGCAATTTCACAATTTAAAAAATAAAAAAAAATATTTGTACGTATATTCCCTGAATTTCTATATAGTATATTTTCTTCCTATAATTAATTATAGGAAAATAGTATATTTTCTTAATAATCAATTATAGGAAAATGTCTACTTCGACGAATATAGGAGATATCTGCGTTTTAGAGGAAACTATCGATACATTTAAACGAATACAAATTACACGCATCAGATATGACAGAGATTATGCTGAAGATGAAATATTTGTAGATGTAAGATGTATCGACAGTGGTATTGTACATGAATACATTAATGTAAGATTATTTTATATTAATTTACATTATGTTCAAATTTTATATTAAACATTTTCTTTTAAAAATATGCATATTCTTAAAAAAATAATACAAATGATCATATTTTATATTAAATATGAGATATGATTATGTGAATTTATGGAAATGTTATTTATAATTTATCTTCTTATAAATATATTATTCGATTTTATATTTTAGGTATGTAAACTAATGCACATCCCAAAGGAATTATTAGATCTCCCAACACATGTTGTCGAAATATTTTTAGCTAATTTAATTCCTTGGGATGAGGAATATATGTGGAATCATTATACTAATGAACAGGTGCACAAGTGGTTTTCAGAAAATTTCGATGAAAGGTCTTATATTATCGGAGAAGTAAGAGTTTTCATGAAGGAAAAATATATATGAGAGCAAGAAAATATATGAATTATTTACAGGTTCGCCTTCATCTTGGAAATACAATATGGTTAGATGATTTAAAAATAGGAACAAAGTTAATTGGCCATCCCGATCTAATAGGATCCTCTTTAAAAAAAGAATTATGCCATGGGAATTTTTCAATTGTGAACAACAATCACTTATCAAATTTATTTAAACTTTGTAGAAATAGTGGAATGACAGAAATCAATGGTCATAATCTAAATGCTACAGATAAATAAATGAAGAAATCTTTCATCATTTATATTTTTAAAAGATTGGATGACTTTAGAAAGTTAATCATTTTTTTAATGTGCATTTATTAGAAAAAATTGGTATATATCATATTGGTACAATATTATTCGTCTATCTTGTAGTGTTTAACGTTATACATTACAGTGAATGCAAAATTTTAGGGACTTCTACATATTTTACGTATTAAAAATGAAAAGAAAGAAAAATAATTATTTTCTTACTAGTGAATGCAAAGTTTTAGGGACTTCTACATATTTTAGGTAGTTAAAAATGAAGAGAAATAAAAATAATTACTCTCCATTTTGTTTGTCATTATTGTCTGCAATTATAACCTCAGAAGCGAGAAAACAATAAAAATTGTGACTAATTTAAAAATAAATTATATTTTAATAGAAATATTTTTTAATATCGTAGAATAGATTTTTAACAGACACGATAATGTCTCTAAATAAAATATAAAAACTAACTTCTTGTTTCGGAAGATTTAATTAAATCATATTTATTTCTATTAATTTATTATATTAATTTGTTATAACTATGAACACAGTTTCTTTTTCATTTTTGGTTACAATATATATGTATAATTTATATACAGATATATGATTATTAATGAAACAAAAAGAACATTCGATATATTTCATAAGTGGCTTTTATTAATTGCAAGTGTTGTTTTATTGATTGAAACGTACTTTCATATTAATATACATATTAATGTATTTTGCAAAAATTTCTATTTTGTCTTGCTTTTAATATCATAGTCGAAGATAATACTTGTGAGCAAATAGAAACTTTAATTCTAAAGTAAACATGCTCAAATTATAAGTTTGTTTTTTAAGGCTGAACTATTATTTTTGAAACTTAAAGTGAGATAGATATATATTTGATATTTGACAAAAAAGTGAGAAAGAGAGTTCTAATGCAGTTTAATGTAGGAATAAAAAACATCTTTTATTTATTTTTTTTTTTGCGAGATAATCTTCTCTACGAAACTTCTTTTTATTTGTCGAATATGAAAATCTTTCTCATTGTTGGGCTATTGGTATGTTTCTTTAACAATAAGTACGAATAGATGAATAATTGTATCAAGGATATTATTATGTGCGTAAAATCAAATTTTATTTCTCTAAAAGAAAATTACTCAAAAAATAAGTGGAAAATCCAAAGACTTTTACATCCAACATAATCGAGGGTAAATTTTTTGAAATTGTATTAATTGAAATATATATTAATATATTATATAT